TGAGGAAAGCGGGGTGCATAATTCTTACACCCATTCTCTAGATCTGCCCCTGCTTTCACCGACACTGAGTTGAAAAACTGTTTAGTATGCACCACTCAGAAACTGAAAAGGTTCACAACACACTTTTCACATGTATGGTATAAACTCAAGAAAATACATATATATCTCCGTTTTGCTCCTGTGGTGCAACCCTTGGGTTTAGGCAGGTTATGAAAATGAGGTATCTGAATAGATTAATAAACAGTTACAAAAAAGAAAAATCAAATTGTAAATCAAAAACAAAGAAGGTTGAAAAGTACAATAGAGCACCAAATACCAAAAGCACAAATCAAGTCCTACCGTGCTTATCCCAAAGCAGCACAAAGTAAAGGAGAGGGGTAAAAAAAGGCAAAAAATACCATCAAACAAAACATAATGTTACTAAACTTACTCATAGAACCTTAAGAAGAATGAATTTGCTACCTACTTATGGCAAAACCTGGTGTTGCTTTGAGGATTCTGCGAGCCTTTTCCTTTACATCCTTTGGGAATTGTGGGTCATTGAGAAATTGTGGACAAAGGAGGCAGGCTAAACACTAAGGATACGAATAATTTCCTAAGTAGTCCTCTTGTTGGATTAAAATAATGGATAATGGGTAGAATATACTCTAATCAATCTAATTATTAGACATCCAAAGCATTCAGATAAATATCCAAGACATTTTTGGAGATGTAGCATGATAGAAGAGGTTAAGTTAAACACACTAAGGGCCCACAATGGAATGATTCCTTTTTTTTTTTTTTTGGAATGGTGTCCACTTGCAAGAAATACTGTGTAAAATTAGAATCTATTACATGTACTTTGGTGCAAACCATCAGTTTTTTGAAACAGTAACAAATACAGACTTAAACAATGATATGGCGTTTTTCCACGTTCCATTTTTCAAGATTTTGTCGAGGGAAAGGATGAGGAGCAGAGTTGTTAGAGAGGGAGGGGGGCTTAACTGGGAGGGGATTAATAAGAGAGGTGGATTTTTTGAGTGAGAGGGCTTATGAAAAAGTGGCTTAAAAGAAAGGGGGTTTACAAAAGAGAGGGCTTATTGAAGAGCAAGGCTCATAAAAGAGTTTACAGTATTTTTGTCTGCCGAGATGAGGCAACCGAAAAGTAACTTTAGTTGTAACAAGGTCCAGTAATATGAAGTTGTGAATTTAACCCACTAAACAGACAACATCGGCCAAAAAAGGCTTAACTTTCTTGGCATGCATTTACATGTACCAACCTGTCTTACAAAGGTGATAGGTGACTGTCCAAATGCATGAGGGTCTCCATAATGTATTACAACCTCATCAAATGGTTTTCTCTCACCCTAAAGGCAATATGATTTTACAGTTTTTAACGCACTGTATAGTATCCTACAGCTGATTTTGTATTCCTCCAGCAAGGCTTTACCATGTTAAGTCTGTGACTACACTAATGAAATCAATTAAGAGAAGGAAACAGATTTTCTGGATGTAACAATGAGAGGACATGACTTAACTATATACATATATTTGACCACACAGAAACTAGTTCTGATAAAATACACTTTAAATGGTATATCTAACCCTTCTGTTACTGGGACACATACACACTTATGTATACGTTTGTTTGACTGTGAACAGTTACCTGCTCAACAAGATAAAATTTGGCTTTAATTTCGTTATAAGAAAGTGTACTTCCAACTACTAAAGTTTAAAAATTGTTTCAAGAATGTACTTTTAATATTAATGTAGCTCCTACACAACACAGCTGTTTTTGAAAATATAACATTGTGTTCAGCACAATAAGGTGTGAATGCCGTATTTAATGTTCTGAGAAGAATAATTCCACTAATTTCATTTTCTTTCTTTTGGATAGTAAATATATACAATCCCACCCTCGTGACGAGATGAAAAAAAACATCTTTCTCTGTTTCTTTACCGATTTCAAAACTTATCATCTCTCTTATTTCTATCTACAAACATCACGACATCGACATTGCTGATCCTAGCAGTATGCAGGACGCATGTCATATGAACTTCGTAATAGACCTCTTTCATCGGAGTACGGAATCCGAAGGTCTGAGGTTCGATTCTTCATGGGAATTTTTTCTTTGTCCCACGCTCGTGGGACAAAGAAAAAGGCAAACATCTTTCTCTAGAAAATGCTTGTTCAAGGTCTCAGTGAGGGCAAAAAGATTGGTTTTTTAAAGTCTCATAGGACTTTTAATTCATCAGAATTAAGATCTAAAAGACTTTATGAGTATTTCACTGTATTTCACAAAAATACACGGAGACATTCATCTTGTGGTTTGCCCCATATGAGCTCCTTCATCTTGAGGGGCTCTGGCCTTGATTGGAGGAAAAATTAAATTCTATTTACACAAAATCTCAGTGTGGTAATCAAGGCGAAAACAAGTTTTGGACATAAAAGTTTTGTCCCTGGCAAGGGCTGCATTGATCATGGCAAAGAATGATGAAAATATGTACTCTTTAATACGTGAACTCAGGTGACCAATCAGCTGTGGCATGTTGTTTTTGTGAACAGTAATCTGGCAAGCCTTTTATTTTCTGACCCAAAACATGAAAAAATGGTTTCACAAGAGTAATAAACAAATGTAAAATGGTAAAATCTAGAAATATGGACAGGGGTCAGGGGACTGACCAGGTGTGAAAGCCTTTGTCATGTCAAACTTTATGAATAATTGATGAATTAATTGATATATTAAAAAATATATCTCGTACTTTTCACTTTTTAAATTATCACGTACAAATTATCAGGTATATAATATACCGACTGGAAGAAATTACGCCGTTAGTTACCGGCGTAAAATCCTACATGTATACACTACCGACTGAAAGAAATTACGCCGTTAGCTACTGACGTAAAATCTTACATATAAACACTACCGACTGAAAGAAATTATACCGTTAGTTACTGGCGTAAAATCTTGCATATAAATACAACCGATTGGAAGAAATTACGCCATTATTAAATCTTACATATAAACACAACCGACTGGAAGAAATTACGCCGTTAGTTACTGGCGTAAAATCTTACATATATACACAACGGACTGAAAGAAACTACGCCGTTAGTTATTGGCGAAAAATCTTACAGATAAATACAACAGACTGGAAGAAGTTACGCCATCAGTAGATCTTACATATAAACACAACCGACCAGAAGAAATTACGCCGTTAGTTACTGGCGTAAAATCTTGCATACAAACACGACCGACTGGAAGAAATTACGCCATTGGTTATTAGCGTAAAATCTTACAGTATATAATATACCGACTGGTAGAAATTACACCGTTAGTTAGTGGCGTATAATCTTACATACATACACTACCGACTGAAAGAAATTACGCCGTTAGTTACTCGCGTAAAATCTTAGATACAAACACTACCGACTAGAAGGATTTACGCTGTCAGTTACTGGCGCCTTAAATCTTACAGTATTTAAAGTACCGACTGGAAGAAATTACGCCGTTAGTTACTGGCGTAAAATCTTACCTATAAACACAACGGACTGAAAGAAACTACGCCGTTAGTTATTGGCGAAAAATCTTACAGATAAATACAACAGACTGGAAGAAGTTGCGCCATCAGTAGATCTTACATATAAACACAACCGACCAGAAGAAATTACGCCATTAGTTACTGGCGTAAAATCTTACAATATATAATATAACGACTGGAAGAAATTACACCGTTAGTTAGTGGCGTAAAATACATATATACACTACCGACTGAAAGAAATTACGCCGTTAGTTACTTGCGTAAAATCCTACTTACAATTGCCACCGACTGGAAAAATTTACGCCGTCAGTTACTGGCGTAAAATCTTACGGTATTTAAAGTATTGACTGGAAGAAATTACGCCGTTAGCTAGTAAAATCTTACTTATAAACACTACAGACTGGAATAAAATACGCCGTTGGTTACTGGCGTAAAATTTTACAGTATGTAAATATTATGCCGATTATATATATATCCTTCAGATGCACGATCCGAACTTCCGATCCTCACAAGCAGAATCCAAAATCCGGATCCAAAAACTCGATAAAACCGCGAACCGCTGCGATTCTAGGATCCACAAATCCGCTAAAATTTCGCTCTGAATCCTATATCCGAGTAAAATAATTCCGTCGACCGTTAACCTTTTTACCCCCCTCACCTTTGGAACGAAAATTACGAGGCCTCTAACATTTGCATTCCATTTCAAACGGACTTACTGAAACGAGTACCAAAGACTGATTTATGGTCAGAATTTTAAGGATATTTCAAAATTTGCCGTCTGCAATGATCTCAGCTAGCTCAGAAGAGACTTCATTTGGCTTTCACAGAGGGGAGAGGAACATGCAAATCACTTTATCTCGTGGGAATCATAGAAATCACTTACTCAAGCGAAAGTTTCAGACGAAAACAAACTACAATAGATATGAGATTCCAGGGCGGTCAAACAGCTACAAAGCTGCAACATGTTTTGCTTCCAAATATATCGAACAAAGAAGGCAGAGAAGCTTGGGTTATGGGTTTGGATTATTCAAAGCAAGCTGTAGAGAACACTTACCAGCGCCATTTCGTGCTTTATTTCGTAAGCGCGAGTATTGACCCATCCTCTGACATTATAGGCTCTCTGGAACACTGGATTGATAGTTTTATCCGTCAAGATTTCTTGCGCTGCCGTTTCCATCTGAAGCGGATGAGAATCCACGGAAATCTTTTTCGTCGATTTAACCTCAAACGGTGAACCAATATAGATCTTGTTTCAGTCACGCAAAATTTGATGTAACGCAATGCTCGAGAGAGCACTCAATGCAAAGCCGCATCTTGCGTGACAAACATTGACTAACATTTGCTTAACCAGTCATAATATATGCATCTGTGCTCTTTTCGGCACGGTGCTCTAGTCGGCATTTCTCCGGAAAGGGATCGTACTGCGGTAGGCGCCCGCGCTCGAATAAGCGCCCTCCCCCAAATGAGCGCCCAACCCCTCGACCAGAATGTTAAGCAAGCGCCTTCAGCCTCGAATAACCAACCCCATCTCTCACTTTCTCAAATTAGTAATGTGTTTCTATTGCCAATTTGTTTAAAACCTTTTAACCTTCAACTTCAGAGTCGAAAAAGGAAATTATTTCTTTTGTGTTCCAGTTATTTCTATCTCCGTTCGTTATCTGTTCCTTTACTTGTCCTATTGCTGCGCTCTTGGCCGCTGTCTAAATTAGAGACATTTCTTGCTTGTCTGAATTCAAAAGATCACTTTATGCAAAAGATCACATAAAAACTATTGTACAAAAAAGTGCAAAAAAAAATAATAATAATGATAAATCTACGTTCATGTTTCTTGTCAGTAAAAGTATTGAAATGTTCTCCTTTTTGCGGTACTTAAGGGCCTTATCTGCAGACATGGACACGCGCTTCAAATGAAACTAAGCTAAGATACATTTTTCGCCAGGAACAAACAACTTGTAAGGACTGTCACATAATTTCAATAAAAAATGTTCAGGTGGACCTGTCCATTGGACCTCTCCCTGCTAAGGTTAAAATGCTTACATTGTCTTTGCTCAGTGTTATGAAAAGTCTCAGCTTACTTTCATCAATATTCCATTGCAATGTGTAAATAAAAATTAGTGTTATCACTCAAGCTTTGGCTCTCACAAAAACGACATTAAACCTTGTGCTTCAGGCGAACTAAAGCTCCATTTATATAAGGAAATTCAACTTATCAGAGAGGGCCGGGTACTCTACATAGATACACTTGATAGCGGTGGCTCTTTTATAGGATCAAGGACGATAACCATTACTTCAGTCATCGGATAAATCATCCATTTGATCTGTGTGATACCACCTTTGTAGTTTCATCCTTCGTGAAAGGCTTTTCATGGGTTGTCCTTCCACTACCGTCTCTTGATAGGGGTCTGTTCTGACTGCATTTTCTATCCTTTCCTTCAGGTGTTTAACGTTCTACTGTACCATGTTTTCAATCGTCTTCTCCTGTCGGCTGTTTTTCCGGGCCATCTCCTCAATC